TCAAGTCGACTATGCCTCGTTGCACTCAACGATCTAGTAGCAGAGGTTTTACTGTTAATCCACGCGGTTAGCGTGATTGGCGATTGTGCGAATGAAGAACGCTACGAAGAAGAAAGGGAACATGTCGGCTACCGCGACATAATGACTTCAGGGCCTTAAGAGCAAAATCAATTGAAGCTATTCGTTCCGATGTGCACGCGTTTCTAAAGGAGAGCAGTAGTTAGCGTGAATTTTTCCTCTTCCTCTGTTCGAACAGCTAAGTTCAGAGGTTAACTAACAGCTTCCTTGGCTTAAATGCTACTTTGAAACTTCGATATTCTCAGCTGTTATCTGACAATAGCCTAAGAGCGCGTAATTACATGATACAGCTTCCTTCGACGTATATAGCTATATTGTTAGGAACTCATATTGATTTGATGAAGCCTGAGAAGATACTGATTTTTAAATTAAATAGAATTAATGAAATATGATCAATATTGAAAAAAACGTTAAAAAGTTATTATATTAAGAAAGCTAATACAACTATCTGTAATATTTTATTATATAAGTCTGCGTTATAAAACAACATATACGTTATAAAATTGAATAAAATATTTTATAACTGTAATATTTAATTGGATACTAAAAAGTTAATGTCGTAAGACACGTGAGTATAAGCACTGAACGGAAAGTTCTTACGATTTTACGTGACAGCGACGCGCTCGCTTAAGCGTGGCCGCAACGAACGAGATTGCGGCGACTCTCGCGTCCGTGCTGTAAACTTCGGTTAATTAAGCGGCGGATTTAATTCGGGGTGCGGGGCGCGGGATGCGCGCCGCGGCCGGGGGCCAATTTTCCGCGAATCGTCATTTATCGGGGCTGGCCTGTAAGGGTTATGCAAATTACGCCGCTGGCATAATTCAGCACCGCCGGCAGCTCGCCGCTGCCGCGAATTAAAGCCGGGCGTTCCCATGCAAATGCCTCGCGTAGATGGCAGAGACTGCGCGGTATAGTGTGTCGTTACTGCTCGAAGGAAGACACGCGGTGACACGAGCAAATCAAGACATTGATACTAGCTTACCGCCGCGAAGGGGATAGAGTTACGCGCTCAACAAATTCGCGAGACTCGACATATTTCACTGTCTTGGGTACGCCCTGCAATACAATACATTCGTTTCTACGACGACGAGAATAGAATAGGAGCAACTAGAAGAACAGGTAGAATAGGATTAAATTCTAATTACATTACAATAGGAACAACAGTTTTCATCACGCAATATATTTCTATTTATAAATTATTCTGCAGACTAGAAAATGCCCGAGATTTTATTAATGCCAATTATAAACATGAAATTCTCATACAATTGTATATAATTTCACGTTAGATTTTGTGTGATGTCATGTAACATTACAAAATTTAAAAAGAGATTATTAAAATATATAAAATAACAAATGTACAAGATATTTTTATTCCAGAAATATTTTAAGATCGATTTTGCGATGATGTGTTATTTGCTTAAAAATAGTCATTGTATAATCATTTAAATCGTGTCCTTTTCGATAACAATTTTAATGCAAGCTGTACGTATCGTCGTCCACGTATACGGAATGCGCGCAAAATTTCCTGCTACTTTTTAGCCGCGAATGTCGTCGAATTCCACGACGAAATTGTTTCGGAACTATGTAGCTGGCTTTTTGTTTCGGTAACGCTGCAAAAATCCTGGCGAACGACAGTGAAAAAATGCTCTTCTTTCTTTCGTTGCCATTTCGGGCGGTGGTTTCCGCTCCGGAAATTTTCACCCGTCGCAAAACTTTCTCGTACGCGCTTGAGCGGTTTTTCGAACATTTTTAATGCCAGCCGCTGCTAACGAGTTAAGTTGATGAATGGCAATATTCCCCTCCTATTATTACATCGCTATTTTATCGCGACGCGCGTTATGCCGGTATCTCTAAATTTTCAACACCGTCATGCGTTTAATTATTCGATATTCATATTTATCATATATTTGCATAACAGTAAACAGAAATTCCGTATTTTTACATATTTTAGAACGAAAAAATGCCTGAAATGTGATACAAAACAGAAAAATATGTGTCAGAAAAAAATAGAAAAAGACGACAAATACATCGGTCACAATAAAAGAGCGACATTTACCGATGTCGGACGGCGTTTAATTTAGCCCGCAAAATATTTCCGCTTCTTTCGAACGAAAGTAATTTTAAGGCTATGGTTAATTTATTCAACGCGCATAAGTCTTCGCCGCATCGGTGGCAATTCGTAATTTCAATTTTCATCATTTACGATTGGATTCCCCGGGCTCGGGAGAGTCATGGCGCAATCCTCGATAAGATCTCTGCAGCTGCCTCCGCAGTACTCCGCACGCATCCCGCGCACGATCTTCCTTTCGTTAAGCGCAACGCGGTAACCTTTCCGAAACGGTCGTATACTTCTTCTCGTTCTCGGCATCCTCCTTCATTTCCTTTCGACGAAAAGTAATTATTTGAAAGACGATATACTGTCGGGTTTCGCGTTACACGCCGCGCGGCTCGGCGATCTGTAACGCGCCGCGATGCGCACCAGCCGCGATGTGCGCATCGCTATCCGGAAAACTTGTGCGAGTCTTTTTACAGCCGTGTTTTATTACGGGTAGATCCACTCGGCAGACAGTGCCACGTGTGCATCTCATGTTTTTAATGGGACCCCGTTGCGATAAATTCACCGACCGTTCCTTTAACAGTTACCGTCATTCAAATCTTAAAGCACTCATTACCCGTACACCTTCGCGGAGGAGAAGATGCCTTCGCTCTGGATTTAATACTAAGATTCACGCTTTGATACGCGCGCGTGACGCGTTGATATCTCTCGCGCGAGGTAAAAATCTTAAACCGAGCGTTAGGTGCGCGGCTAAAAACCCTCAGGCGGTTTGTGTTTGGTCACCCCACACGCGTCGGCCTACCGCTCGAATTAATGACTTTACCGGCCACCACGTATACGAGAGACCGATTCCACGTCATTCGATCGCGATACGTCTGGACGATTCATAAACCACCCTCGAGCGGCACCCTCGCGCGCGCGCGGCGTGGGCGTTTTGTACCGCACGGTAGCGCCGGGGTCACAAGCGTGCGGTGCGTTACCCATGTGTGTGCGTGACTCTGCGGCGCGTTAACGGAAGTGAGTAAAGCGCCGCGCGCTACAATCTGATTCACCGATCCTCCTCGTAATTGCCTGTAGATCCCAATCGCGATTAGCTGGGAAATTAATACGATCCTGTATCTGCGATTTATGTGTGATCCACCCGTGGATTATGCACGCCCCGTGTCGGTAACTCGTGCGTAACCGCGGCCGTCGTTTTAAACGTTGGAGGATCCGTCCGAGAGCATCCGCTCGCTACGGACGCTAGGCTCTTTCGCTTATCGCGAACGATCATGCGTCTTGAAACGTGATATGCCGTTTCCGAGATGGTAGCCGTTTAGCCAATAAACACATATTAAAGGGAGCCAATAACATCGGTTAATATTTTTTTTCAATGGTCGGAGAAACAGTCAATGTTAGCGCGCTCTATAGTTAAATCTCTCTTTATTTCACGCGGAGAGATGTGCTTTATCATATATTCATTAAAAGGTTGATCCATATATATTGCCAGCATTTTTTTCCATGTTCTCTCTCGTTTGTTTCGATCGATTCTAACATCTAGGTCAGGTTGCGAAAAGAACGAAACATGACATTTTTGTGTTATCAGGCATCGAACGGTCGATTCTACATTCCGCTATCGTGATCGCAGCGAGAGTTTTCGATAAAAAGAAACAAAAAGGAGATAAACGGAAGGTATCGCGCGAGAGAATGGAAAAAACGAGAATTTACAAGAGAAAGAGGAAAAGAGAAAGGTATTCGAGCTCGTGGTTGGCGAATCGCATTGCGTTAAAGGGTGGCCCGGTACACCATTCCCGGCGACTCGGGTCAACAGGCATTGTCCGGCGGAATTACCACCAACGGGCACCTGTGATTAAATGCTCCGCCTCTCATGCTTCCAAGAGGATCTGGAGAGCAGACGGAGAGCGAGGGAGAGGGAGAGAGAGAGAGAGCAACTAACGGAAATGGAAGGTGAAAGGGGGACAGGAGAGAGGAAGCAGAGGGATACGTACATACCTATATGGAGGCTGTTGGTTCTGCCATTCGTACTTGCATACCTATACCTTCCCAAACCCCTCGACCTTTACCCCTATACGGTGACGGGATAATGCCCATTGTTTCGAGCATCCTACGCATCCTTGGTCCAGGACGTGATACCTAGGAGCCTTCCTCGAATGCTTGCGTCGCGATACGATACATCCAAATGGTACCTAAATACCCGCCTAAATGCGGCCGCAACTGGATCCTCCAACAGGCTTCCGCTTCGTCCGATCCCGCTCAAGGACTGCCGGATACCTGGCCCGACGACGATCGGCATTCAGGTGCAAATTGGGCACATGCGGCCATGAATGTCATCTGTGATTTCCGACCTTCCCGAGCGCTTGGTCATGTTGCTCGTTAAAGCGCGTCTCATTAGGTGGAATTTGCACCAATTATCCGATGCAGTTGGTTGCAGGGAATAATGAGCAGAAATAAATTATTATTGATATTGATTTAATAATGATGAAAAATATAAATTGCAGTTTAATAAAAGAAATTGATATGAAAGATAACATGATTGCTGCATTAATAATTAATGAGATATATACTTGTTGATCTTAAAATATATCTATCAATATAATAAAATTGTTATAGGTAATACATTTTATTAATATAATTTATTTTTTTTAGTATGCGTTTTTTAATAAATATAAAACATTATTAATTAATATAATTTGTTTTTAAATCAATTAAAATTTTTAAAAATATGATATCTTAATTATTTTAAACGAAAACACATATACAGAAAATCGATATAAAATAATTATTTATTATTATGGTTTACGTAAGAATAAAAATATAAAGGGAATATGAGAAAATAATGCAATACACAGGTATTTTTTGTAAACTTTTATGTACAAATATGACCAATATTTATACAACATATGTTCCTACATCCATTTTGCTAATACCATATAATAGCTACTCTATTTACAAAACTTTTGTCTCTCAAAACTTTGTCTGCGTTATAAATTTGCATTTTGTTTGCTTATGACAGTGTAGGTTTTTCATAATTTTTTTAAATCCATGGCCCCAAACGACTCTCGAGTACGTTGGCTGCGTCAACGCGTCCCATCAGTCTTAAATGATTCAGTAAATCTGCCAGAGCCGTGGCCTCGCGATGCCTGGCTTCCCATAAGTCCAAAATATGTTCCGTTGGACTCGCTTTCGTCGCAAAGTAGTCGACGTATCTTAAAATATTGCCTCGGTTTAAATCCTTTTCGTAAATCCGTAAAAAAAGAAGATGTACTGCAAAGGATTAAAACTCACCGGTCTACTTGCAATCTCTGAGCGAGCATCCGCCAATCATTGCCGCGCGCACTTGGCGGATCTAGACATTGGCATAACTGCTTTCTAAGCGTCTTAGAAAATCTGCAACAATCGAAATAAAATATCACATATACATATCAACTTCATTATATATTTTTTTTATTGATGAGAGTATAAAATATATTTTATCTTATTTTTAACGTGTGTGTGTTAATGTAAAAAGTACCTGAAGGGTCTCGGTATGACGGATTCCGTGGACCTCGCTGAATTTTTCCCTCGTAGAACAACAGAGGACTCCGTCTTGTTACCATTTCTCTTTCCGCTCATGTTACTCCTTTTTACAAGATCGAGATCGATCCTGAGAAGCAAGCCTTGATCCTCGAAACCACGTTGACAAGCTCGAAGCTCAAAGCCGAGCCTGAGGTCGCCGACAACTTTTTCTATCCTAAAGGAACGCCGGATGCTAATCCTCGAGGATGCCCAGACGCGCCGGTAAGGTACTTCCTGCCGCTCGGCAAAACCGCTCTCTCTATCTTCGAGATCGACGCGAAGTGCTGTGCCGCTAGCGCGAAATCCGAGAGTACTGTGATCGATGTAAATGCTACCCAAGCGTCGTTCCTGCGAAAGGATTACACACAACTCGCGGGAATAAGACAACCACCGGGCAATTTGTTAATAGAATTATAACAATACTCTAATGTCCATTTCTATCAATGCAGATTAACTTTATCTCGGTTTAATTTACTTTTTATCTTTTTCTAATTCTTAGAACTAGAAGAGGATAAAAAGTAAGTTAAACCGAGATTAAAGTTAATCTATACATTGGTATAAAAATAAATACAAGAGTAAATACATATATTTATTAAGATTTAAAATACATATATATTTTGTACTCACTCGTTCGCTTACGAGCTTAAACGACGCTTTGGTGTCCTCGAGTACGTGGCATCTGATGTGATCGCGTTCGCGAGACGCAAAAACCGCGACGCAGAGCCGTTTCACGGCCAGTCCAGGCGCGACCACTGAATTTTCTCCCGCCACCGCGTAAACGCTGGGTGTCTCCGTGACGAGAAACACCCCAGCGTGATCGAGCTGCGCGAACGGTTGACCGGGTAGATTCGTCGGGTCGCCGCCGAGCATCAACACCTTGCGCCACGTCGTCGCGGACGGCGAGCCGTTCGAGCTCGCCGACGAACTCGTGGAGTTGTTTGAACGTGTCTCCAGGTCGATCTCCGTCGACCACAGACTCATCTCCCAGTTTCCGGTTCTCAGCTCGGCGCAGTGCTCGAACTGAAGGATCACCGGCTTCGCGAGATCGACGCTCGCCGGACCGCAGGCCACCACGGCGGACAGCAGCGTGAATCCGGGCGGGAGATTCGGTCTGAAGGAATTTTCGCCGAGCACGGCGAGATGCAGACTGTGCCGGCGACCGCGCGGGATCGCACCTTCCGGCACCGACATTGAAACGCCCACCTCGGGTACGACCAGAAGGGCGCCTTGCTCGTCAATTATGGCTCTCACGATGAAGCCACTACCGTCATCCGTCGTGGATCGTTCGTTCTCGTCCGGTCTTTCATCATCGTCCTGTTCGTCGTCGTCCTCGTTTGTGCTCTCTGGATTCGCTTGATACGTCGAGCCTGAGAATATACGTATAAAGATTCCCGATAGACGAAGAACTTTCATCTTCGTACGCAAAAAAATGTATTTAAATTTATTACTTTTGCAATATTATTTCAAAATTTAGAGTTTACTTCAAAATAAGAGATTCAAGGTACTTTTTCTCGGATTATTTGGCAAGGAAGTGGGATTTATTCGAAACGAAACTGATTGTCTAAAGAGCTCTCGTGATCTCGAATTTATGGGAATTTCTTACGAGAAGACCGTCCCTCCTCATTATCCGACATGCCGCGTCCTCGTTGCGAGTTCTTGCAAGAAGACCTAGTTACGGAGGAGCTCGGCGATGGTCTCGTTGTCGACGGTAATGACAATTGCGGAACGTCATAATGATGCTCGGAACAGGATCTGCACATTGCGCCAGCGCGTCGTAAGATTATGTAAATGTAACTGAATGCTGATTCATATTATGTATACCGTGTTCTCTCATTATTTTGATTGGTACATAAGATATATATACCTGGGTAGTCTGGCGGCGTTCGATTCGTCTATCACATGCTCGAGACGCCTGTCGTTAGCTAAAACCGAGCGCTCGTTCTTAGAAACGACCGATTTTGCGAGATCACCCGGACGACGAAAGTCCAATCTCGCCACGCCGTACAACGCTTCCATTCTCTCTTTCCGGCGCATCAAGCGAACGAAGAAAATCGTTGTTACGGCCAGAATTATCGCGGCTAAACTCAAAGTGATCCACAATGCGAGGATATTTCTGTAATCGACCGCCCGAGTCGCTACAAAGAAAAATATCTCTTTTTCTTTTTCCATTTCAGACGGAAGCGTTTTTAAAAATAATTCAACCGGTTTCTTTACCTTCCTTGAGTACTCTTGGCCCATCTTGCCCGAGCGCTGCATGCAATAAGAAGGGAGAAATGTTTCAAATAACAAAGATATAACGTATATAATTTTACATCGACAATTTACATCGCGGGACTATGGAGTCTAAAGTAATTAATCATTTTGGAAGGTCCTCGCGCGCAGATTTCAATTTTATCCACCGCGGCACCGGCCATTTTATCGATGAGTCACCGCGTATGCAGAGTCATCGAATTTTACGAATAGCAATCGAATGCGGAGAGCTAAAAAGGACCGCGCTCGTTCCAAATAAATCGTTAGGCACTCGAGTGCGAGTCACGAAGAACAATAAGAAGCAGAAACACGGGCTGGGGCCTCACCATTACATCGATCCGCGGAGCAGGACTCGACGATGACGTCCTTGCCTTGACAGGGACGACCGCCGTTGCTCGGCGGGGGGTCATTGCAGGATCGCCTCCTTACTCTCGAACAATCGGGACCGCATGCGGACCACGAGGACCAAGTTGACCATCTGCCGTCGACCGCTGCGTGCAACGGGGCGAAGTTGAAAATCTCGATTAAATTGCGATTATCTGATTTGCGAGACGGCGAAAAGAATGAATACATCTGTACCGTGTATCTCGATCGGGACGCATTTTTGTAGCGCGCTTAAAAATGTTTAGTACATGTCAATACGGGGCCTGTGCACTCGTATTAACTTTTGTATTCTATTACGATTTGCGACACAATATTACTCTATGTTATTTTGCTCTATATTATTTTGAGTGGCGCATGAGTGGAGTCTTTGTAGGTCCACCTACCGGGGCAGGAAGGATTGCATTCTACCCTTTGTGTAGCTGGCCCTGGGCACGTTTGACCGCCGTTGATTGGAACAGGATTCGTACATGTTCTTGTCCTCTTTTGTACGCCTCTACCACAGCGAGCGCTACACTCCGACCATCCGGACCAGGACGACCACCCGCCGTTCACTGAGAATGGATCGGAAAGAGAGAAAAAAAAGGATACAACGGCGAAATTAAAACGAGAACAAATAACACCTTGTTACACCCCGCGGCTCGAACAGGCCACAAGACATGAGTGAGTTGCTTATCCAACGCGACGTCAATTAAAAATAAGAGAATCAAATTTTAATCATCGTGAAATCTGCAAGCGCATCCACTACAAATTTAGTTATTGGAGGAGCTGAACATGTGATGAATAACGCGCAGAATAATACAATAACATCTCCACAACGTCTCTACAATTATTTTTTGGAATACAAATATAAGATAGATTTATATGTATTAATAATATTTTAGATAGAACATAAAAGAAGAATCTTTTTTTTAACTTTATAGGATAAATTGTTACAAAGCTATAAGCTTTTTTATCATCTTTATCCATCCACTTCCTCAATCATCGCGCACGAGCGTGTTCTTCAACCGCATCCATTCGGCGATTTGCACAGTAAAAAGAAAATTGCTCACCGTAGACGGTGAGCACCGCCGGTTCGCTGACTCTCCTCGCGGCGATGTTCTCAGCGACGCAGGAATAGTTCCCTTGATGCCTCAATTCGGCCTCCCCGAGGAGCAGATGCCCGTCGGCGGATTGTACAAAGCCGGTCGCGGAGGACATCTCGTTGGGGTTCGCGTCGGCGGTGGCGGAAGCTGCGCCAGCGGCGGCCGTCTCAAGAGGAGAGCCATTCCTAAGCCAATAAACCTTTGGTGATGGTACACCCAAAGGCGGCGAGCATCGCAGTTCCGCATTGCGGCCGGCTTCCACCGACAGGGAATACGGCGGTGACAGGAAGTGCTTCTTCAGATCTACATCGGCACGATCGGGCCGCCGGTATCGGGCGGGTTTTTTAATATTCGCTCGGAAACACGTTCGAGAGGAGCGGGAAATGAGAACGGGAAGAGGGAGGAGTGGCACTCAGCGATATTAGGGCGCGCGTACAGACGCGCGAAAGGGCTTTCACGGGGTTTCTCTGTCCGGTTTCTCCCCCTCTCCCCTGCCCCCCGACCATCAGAAAGACGGAAAAAGATTTGCGGCGCGTGAACCACAGAATGCATAACTGCGGTCATTCGTTCGGTGTGGCTATCCGTCGCGGTATTATTTGCCGCACCACGTCCGCGTTCAAAAAGCGAGGCTTTCATATCGCTCGTGAAGAGCGTAAGCACCGACCGCGCGGCCATAGTACCTCGACGTGGCGGTTACGCGCTTTAGAAGCTGGCGGAATTCTATGCCACGGTATGCAGGCCCGCGACTGATGGATGATACGTCCGGCATCACAAAGTATACCGCGTTATGGACCATCTAGACCGATTCAAATGCATTTCGGCTTACGCTGCCTTCGCTGGCTTCGAGATATTTTCACGCGATACGTCATGTGCCAAACACAATTTTAACGTGTCATTGAATTTACGTTTTTTAAAAAAAATGTAATATTTTTTTCCATAGACATTGACATTGGGTACAATAATTCGTACGAGTCGTAGAAGTCACTCGTCGCAAAAAATCACTTCTACTTCCTAAACGTTCGGATAATAGGTTCCCACTTCAAATTCCCATTACACGATTCGATCGTTCAATTTGCAGATATCTCATTTTCCTCGTCGTCGCCGTCGCGCGCGCGTTCGAATGTATTTTATATGATCATAAAATATTAAAGCTTGAGACATGAATAACTCAATGCGCGCCGCTATTATCCAGCTAAATTAATTGCCGGCACTTGGGTTCTATTCGGAAATAGAATAAGATGGTTGTGCAGAAAATCGTTCTCCGCGAATCGTATACACATCGATTCGATCGACATCCTGCATTCAATTTCGAAAGCGCGTCCGCTTTCTGTTTGCACGCAAATACCGATTTAATTTTGCATCCTGTTTGCCACGCTTGTTTGCGCGGCGTGGCGCGACTCGAAATGTCTAAATGAAAATTGCTCTTGCGTTGCACTTTTTACGAAGCGCCCAATCCCGAAGCAATCCCGCATCGTTATTGGAATCACATACACCGAAATACCAAAATACACTTTTCATATGGCTTATCTCGCAATATATAGGCGACTTTATTTTAGCTTTGATAACCTACGAGTGTTCTGCAATGAATAACAGAGGTTCTCCCTCGTTTTCCGCTGGTGAAAAAAAAAACGCAGCCGCTATTCCGGGGCTTACGCGTCTGTCGTTTCATTTGCGATAGAATATCGATTAGATTTTGTACTCGATTTGCGCGTCACAGGACACTTGATGAAAACCGAATCGTGTCCGCTTTGTCCCATTAATTTGTCCCATCTTCCAGGCTCTCTTTTTGCTATATACAAGGTGCGGGGGGAGATTAAGCTTTTACGTCGAGTTTCTTCAAAAGCTTTAAATGAAAATCGTGTTACCGAAATTACATTAATAAAGTTACTAAATAATGGAATGGCGATGTAACTAAAGACCATGCTCATCGTACATTTGATAAAATAAATTTGCACAAAAATGTTTCTGAAATAACTTTTTATACGTGCGATTGCAAAGGAACACAGACATTTCCATGTTATCAACAATCGTAATATAATTTTATAATCCGAATTAGAACATAAATTACAAGAACGCTCGAAATAATTGTTACAGCTTGTTCAAGGGCCTCGTTCTTCCCCCTTGTGTTAACATGAGTGAAAGTGACGTAATCTCCTGAGTTAGAGCATCTCACGTACCGCGGAAACGAGCGGCATGGTCATTACCGCAATGAGAGAAAGAAAATCCTTTCGTCGCGTCGGTAAACTGAACATTCAAAGGGAATCGAGGGAAGACAGGAGACATACAGGATAGCGGGGAAAGAGCGAGCGGGGGAGAGAGAAAGAGAGAGGATGGGGAGAGCTCTCTACTTACAGGCGACCTCAACCGTAGCGGGCTGGCCCCGAATTTGACCTGGTCCCGACCATGCCACGCACTCGCACTTGAATCTCTCCCTCCCGAAGTACTCCTCGACCTCGTTTCTCGTCACGTTCAACTCGACCTCGACGACCCTCGTTCCGGTACGAGGGTCGACGAAATCCTGCTGCTGCGAATGCTCGGCCCGGTCACCGTTGCAGCGAAAATACACCTGCGGAAAAGAGCGGCGGTAGGGAGGGAATGTGTATAGTTTCGCGTGCCATGAAAGAAACAGCTTGTCTTCGTTAAATTGCGGCTAAGTAGGTAATAAGAACGAGGAGAGAGGAGAGAGCCGCCGCACCAAACTCGAGCCAAGAAGGAGATAAAGACAAAGGCATTTTGTGGAAAGCTCCAACGGGGGTTGTATATGAGAGCATCAAGGGAAATGATACTTCCATGTATTCATATAATACTATGGAGTAACTTGTAGTGTAGTGGTAATAAGAAAATATATAACGCGGAATAAATCTTCGCGCAAAGCGTCATATAGAGACGCGAATCATATATAAAGATTATTACAGTAAATACGTACCTGAAGTGCGTGCGCGGCGCGACAATGCAACGTCGCCGGTTTCCCTTTAACGACAAACGTGTCGACGGGCTCCGCCAAGAAAATCGGCAGGGAACCGCCAACGATGAGATCGGTATCGCTGGTTATAGTCGCGGTCTCGTAGTCACCGTAGTCGTAATCTTCGACAGGATAATTCTCCTCGTCATCCTCCTCGGCGTCATCCTCCTCCTTCGTACCTGGCGAGCAACGCAGCACACGCTTTATCCCTCTTGCGAGCGAAAAAATCGATAATTCCAGCGCGTTTTATTCCGCAAATCCGATAAAGCCGTCAGTCTAATCCCTCGGCGGCATTATCCATACGTCCCCGAAATTTTTCATATCGGATCGATTGAATTAAAATCGTCGCCGCCGCGGGCTCTCGCTCTTGGTCCATCGGAGGGATTAAGCCGCGTCCACCACGATAAAGAGAAACGCCGATGGAGACGCGTTATCGGATTACTAATGGCGCATTATCGGATCCAATGACGTCCAACAAACGATCCCCTATATATCCGATCGTCTTTTCTACGAAAGTGTATCGTTATCCGAAGACACACGCGCGCGCGTTCGAAACGGCGCGGTATATTTAGACGTCGAGTCGGATACGATGGAACAGTAAAGTCGGGCTTAACGATGCGTGGCGGATTTTACGCTGTGTATCAGCCGTGGCGAGACACGTTCGCGCTTAGATCTCCCGGACTTTACACTTCGTGTTCGCCGTCCCGCACCTAAGTCCCGCGGGAACTTTATTACATCCCGAGTAACTGCGCCTCTCTCTTGTTTGAGTGGTCGCGGTAAACCGAGCACCGGCGGACCGATGATTACCCCCGCTGTCACGCTCATGAGAAAACATGTCACGATTCGCAGTGAGAGGCTTTTGCGAGGAACGCGAGGCGTAAATTTACGCCGCGATTCGTACGGCTCGGGCACGCTTTCGGCCGGAAGCGAGCGAAATGAATTTTTGGTCGCTCTGGAAAGTGCCGGCAAACTTCCGCGCTGCAATAGTTTTGGCTGGTAGTTTAACCGATATTTTGGTAAACCGATTTTTTGAGTGCACTTAATGAAATAGAATGTGTTTAACACGTTGACTGCCAAGCCATATTTGGGAAAAGAATCCCCGATGTCAATTTGAGTTATGTTTATAAATTATTCAAAACCCAAAATATAATGTACAAAAATAATAAATATTTGTATTAATAGACGTGTTAATAAATATATAGAGCCGATTTCACAGTCTCCGATTAATGTGATCCTCCGATTAAACTCACTCTGCATCTCTTTCTAACTGTCCCTCTAGAAAAAGACGAAGACTGAGTTTAATCGGAGAATCAAGTTAATCGGAGACTGTAAAATCGACCCATAATAATATAATGGCCAAATCATCCAAATACGAATTAACTCATATTTGGCGCAGTCAACGTGTTAATAATAAATTCATTTAGTTTCAAGTAATAAACATGCGAGACGTGCATTTCGTGCAACTTATCTGTTCGAATGCTTGTCACAAGTTGAATGGATTTATTAACGTATCGGGAATAGTCGACAGGTGTCATCAAACTTAAATCTACTGCTTCATGCTCCGTTACTTACTTTCGAGCGTGCTGGCAAGACGAAGAAGCGTTAAAAGAAGAATACTGATCCTCAGCTCCATCGTTACCTCACATTTCACTTAAACCGGTCTTTTTATTTCATGCCACTCGAAGAAATTAGGCACAACGAACTTTGTATTCTACGCTGACACGTTTCATTAGTGTCGCGCTTGTTAACCACGAATGATCTTGGCTTCATAGCCGGTGATCATTGTCAAGTATCATTGGATATTTTCTATAATTTTAACGAACATCCGCGATGCATCGAGGTATGTTACGTCAGTGAAACATGCATCGAGAAAGATCGACCTGGCCTTCGATCAAACGGAGATAGAAGAGATCCCGATCGTCTGTGCGTACGCAAGAATCATACGACAGATCCAACGTTCGAGGGTCATATTCACCTCACATTTAAATTTTTTTAATTTGCAGAAGAAGACCCGTCTCCTTGAAAAAAAATACCATAAATAATTAGTCGCGGCTCGTCCTGAGGACTACATGACGAATTTGAACGAGGGTGCTCGCACTTGCATGGTTGCACTCGCGTTCGAGCGTGCGAAAGGGTGGGGGACACGTGACCGGCTTCGAGCCCCTCGCGCACGGCGGTGAACGAAACGAGGGAAACGAGAAGTTCGCTAAGGGAGGGTGGTTGCACCGATGCTCGCGGGTCGGCACGCGGTAGACGACTGAACTTGCCGACGTGCGCGCACCTCTATATATACATATATATACGTCTCACTTCGATACCGACGCTCTTCTTCATCCCCTTGTCGTCGGGGGTGCTGCTGCTCGCTGCTGCTGCTACTGCTGCCAGTGGTGGCGGTATCCGCGGCGGTGGCGGCGGCGATGGCGGCAGTGGTGGTGGTGACGTTGATGGTGGTGGTAGTTGTGGCGGTGACGCCGGAGGCTGCGCTTTCTTCCGCGAATGTTCTCCTTCCGCCTTTGAGCGATGATCGACATATCACTCTCGCACCAAATATGCATCCCTCTAACTCTTATATCCGTCACAGAAGTTGTTTAACTTTTTACTGGCGTATTGAGTATGAAACAATCTGTATTCCTTTTCAAAATACATTTCCGTATTTTTTTATAAAAAAAAATATATATATCACACACCACAAGAGCATGTAGAGTTTTTCACGGGGTTAGTGACTGTAAAGCGCTTATTCACTTGAAGGGTTAGTACTTCAACCCTTCATCGCACGGGACATCTTTGACATAATCGACGACGACCCAAGTCAGAAAAGAATGATCGAGAGCCATTTGTTTTTTAACGAAGCTCTCATTTGTGGCTGGGACACGTCTCTTCGGATAAAGCCGAGTACTTGTTGGCGCGTTCGAGGAGTGCATTGTCGTGTACGAAACGTCGATACATCAGTTCCTTGACGATTCAATATTCATCTACCCCGTCCTCATTCATGGCGCGTCATAAAGCCAGCGCCGTTAGCCTCGAGGTCATTGTTATCGCGCCTCGTCTACCACCGTGGTGCCTTTGGTAAAGGACTGAATGAATATCGCTCGAACATCCGCTCGATCGAGGAGGGGGATTCCTTAGAAGAGGATCCTTACACGGGAACGTATGGGATTTCCTACGTTCGATCACTGCCGATCCGCTCGAACGTGAAATCGGATCCAACCGCGAGAACGAGTTTAGCGTCGCGACGACGCGGTCCTCTAACCTCGCAATTTCGTATATACGAGGGTGGGATGTTACGGTAAACGAGCTTCCAAATCGCTTGGTTACACATCCAGAAAACCGATACCTTGTTGCTACTTGGCGCTAAAAATCGAAGAGTACGGAACGTGCCCGTGTCACGTCAGGTTTTGCTCCACGAGAGAGAAAAATCTTGGATGAAAACTTTATTTTACGATCCACGCGGATTTTTATAGATGTTAGGTAACACACAGGCATATTTTTGGAGAACAGAGCCCGCGTTCTTCCTACATCGTGAATTAAATTTTCGTATTTTTAGGCATTTATTATCGAGGTGCCAAATTGAGAGATGCCAAAGCTGCAAATATTTTCCCAGTGACCTATCGCATTCCTGCAATGGGAATCCGACCGACGCGTCTTGGCAAACATTATAAAGCGCATTCAAGCGTCTCTGTCCACGAGAAGTTCCGTTTCGCTCTGTTTACTCTAAGTATCTCACGCTCAACTAGACAAGAAAATCCCCACGGCATGGCACTTGCCCGCCGTAATTAATGATACCCTACGGGAAAGGATTAACGTGTACACAAAGTATATACATTAGTGCCCGATCGGAGTTCGGCATGCATCGCGATAACGTTTAAGGCGCTCGATGCCGGGCATTAAGGTGGCTGCAGCATCGTATGGCCTTAATCCGGATCTATACGCCGATGTGTGTATACGCCATTATGTATTATACTCACATGTATATCGGTTCGGCGAGACGTCGAAGCTTGACTTATGCCGATGGCCCTCACTCGCAGATGGTTATCTCGCGCCTTTACGAGAGAGTCGATCCGTTCGAGCCTGTGTGCGAGCGCAATGTGCTTAAGCGATTTAACGTAAACACACGTAGCAATTTGTCCCGGGCTTTATGTCGCCCTCGGGAAAAAGGAGCCCACGCGCTCGTTCCGTACCGTTCGGGACAGAATAAAGAGAGAAGAGAGAGAAGTGTTCGTGGCACGAGAGAAAGCGTACGAGAGGAGAAAAAAGGAGAGCAACGTAAAGAGCACGAGAACAATACGCGGCTCGTTTTCTTACTTTGTCGATATGTTATAGATAAAAATAACAGAAGAAAATATGCGCGTTTTATTAGCAAGTTGATGTCTTGTTAAGCGAACCTTTTTCAGCTAATTGCAATCGCCCATTTTGGGTTAGTGACGATATGAAAAAGAAAATAAAAAATCTCCGCTCGAGTAAAAGCGAATAAAGAAATAAAATAGGTGAGTTTATCTCATCGAGCTTTGAGGCAGGTCTTCGTAGACACTACGTCGTATCGACTCCAAGGTGTATACGCTTCGAGTATAAATTACCACATGCTTGTTCTCCGCGTGTAGCACGTCGTACATCATGCTATATCTAGATAAGCCGCCGTTAGAATTATTAACACGCGTGGCCACCGCTGACTGGGATGCTCGTTTATTCGCGCTTATGTGAAAAATTAGCGAGAAGGCGGAGCCTTATCGCATCACCTATAACCGTCTAAATAATTATCGGACAAGCTGAATGAGAATCACGATTTCAATATTAAGACTTAAATTTTTGCACATATGTTGTTAATATTGAAATCGTGATTTCCATTCAGCTTATTTGATAATTATTTAGACGGTTATAGGTGATACGATAAGCTCCGCCTTCTCGCTAATATTAGTAATATTCAAATGCTCCAAAAAGAAATGAAAAACTTAATGGAATAAGTTTCTTTCTTTCCGTCTCTTCAATATGTTATCAATCGTAAAATATTAATTGGTCATTTTGCAGCGCAAATACACAGGATCGATCTGCGTATCGCACACTGTTATCCATCTTTATCTACATCATAATATAATATAACGTGTATAACGGCTATATATACGGCGCGTTAGCCGTCGAGCGACGTTTAGTGGAAATCACAATTCGCATAACGAGATAATCAGGGGGCGTAATTAAAAACAATGTCGCGTCACGTATGATTATGCGCGGCTTGCAAACCGGTGACAATGAATATTGCCCGATTGCAAACAGACACCGCGCGTAATTGGCTTCCGCGCTGCGGCCGTTAAACGCCGGACGATAAACACGCTTAACGCGTATCGTCAAATATGTCGCGCGATGATCAATGCGATTGACAGAATGCGCGCGGATAACGCGACGACGAGGCCGGCGATTTAATCATTAAACCGGCCGGCGGCAGCGGGTGGCATAATCCGCGACATTTGCTCGGCAAATGAACTTCGTGCGCCGGCAAGGCGTGAAACACTCGCCAAGTCACGCGCGTTGGATAAATTGAAGGTGCCGCGCGGATGCCATTTTAGGCGGAGCGGCTAAAATGCGGATTGTATCCGCATGACCACATTCGCAGGTCGCAGGCCCATCGTATTCGACCGCGCCATTGCGCCGGCTGCGAAGACCGGCAGTGCTGCATCATGATGGTCGATTGTCATATAATTCCTTCAGCGCGAATTTAATCGTCACTCTCTTCTATTTCTCTATCTTTATCATAAAAAGACCCTCTTGAAAAATTGACGCATCCGTTACATCTACCATCTATACGATTTGCTTCAAGGATAAAAATAAAGACAAAACGTGGTAAATTACTTTGTCGATAATAATTTTGCAAATTGTATTTAATCAATCTATTTCTAACTATTTCATAAATTTATTTTTACCTATTTCTATATTGCTTTCAATTGTACAAAACATTTTAAATGTAAAAAAATAAAAATATAGTCCTTCCGGGTAGAGTACTTTTCGAGGTACAAGATACGTACCTCGAGTTATTTATTTCTATATATTTTTATAAAATGGCTTTCAATTGTGCAAGAGGTTTTAAATTTATTTGAAGTATAAAAATACAGCTCTTCCGGATATATAATAGTATAATACTTTTCGAAGTACAAAGATATGTACTTCGAGTCATTCCTTCGCACGACTCTACTGATATGACACATATATATAGGTACAACGTTACGTTGTGCAGCCCGCAATGTATTATTTCAAGCCGATGACCGCTCTCGCGTCTATACGTTTAAATAAAACGTCGTCGGTACGTACAAGACATATACGTATCGCGGGGTTGAGGAACCGTACTATTTCTTTCATCGATTGGATCTCTCCCAAAGGGTTGTCCATAGGATCTACCTCACCTTAATATTTCAGCGTACGTGCAGCTGTTGTCTTCGCAAACTCGAGAAAACCCGCGCGGCTCTGCCTTACGTGCTCTCTTACATATCTTTGACGAAAATAGTCGTGCGGTTGTAACGAGAAATAAAGAATTCGGACCTGTATACGGTTTTCCTTCGCGGCGGTATCATTCGTTTTGGAAACACGCGCAACGTGCATCTGTTATTAATTTAACGAATACTATAAAAAGACCCGCCGATCAACCGCGGAGAAAGCCGGAATGCCTATTAGCCATCGGTTATTCATGTCGAAAGTTTGTCACAGCAAAACAGCGCGCCGCAGCTACCTCGACGAAACATGCAATGTAAAAATGCACGATCATGCAACCAGTAAGAAAAAATTTTGATGAATATCACGAGGAGACTAATTCTAGGTAAAACATTCAGTTAACCAGTGACTATCGCATTATTGTTATATTAACAGTGTTAAGCGTTTAAAGAATTAGATATATTAATTGCTCAATTTCATTCTTCGCTTTTTTGGTTTTTAATTTCATTTTTAATTTTATTTAAAATAGTATCATTTTTTAAAGTCATTTTTTGTAGGAAACATAATTATTGTCCAAGATAAAATCATAAAGAAATATTTCGACTATCCGCCTTTTTTGTTTCCCATGTCTGATGCTCATCAATATATTTCGAAGAAAAAAAGTAGAAACAAATGTTATTCGTCTTTCAGCACTCGCGCGCGGTTGTACGCGCATGGTGAATTTTCCCGAGACAAGAGCGAACAAAGAAAGGGTCCCGATCTAGGGATACGTGCACGGTGACGTTAGTTATAATGCATGAGCGTCGAGGTAATAGAATACTCAAATATGCAAAGCGGCGACCAATGCTCCGGTAAAA